CCCAACCGGTCGTAAGTCGAGGACTTTCCCTGCCCGGGAGCGCCGCGCATGCGTGGTTCCGCCCCCTGCGCCGGCCGAGGCGTAGCTGGCAAGCGGCAGAGACGGAGCAGGCCGACCACCAGCTGGCCCAGCCCAAGGGAGGTAAGGCACCCGCCGGAAAAGGGGAAAAAAATGGCGGACAGCCTTGCTTGGCGACCCCTGTGAAATGGTCGATCGACCCCAAATGGGGTCGCGACCCATAGGTTGAGAACCGCTGCTTTAGTGGTCCTTCCCAGTTGTGATTTGAGCTGATGGGAATTGTAGCTAATTCCTTCTATTGTTTCTGCCCATTTCATAAGATTCAGCAGAGTGGGCTCCCTTCATATCCCACCTCTTGAGCCATGCCATTTGATGGAGCCTTTGTCACCAAAATCACAAAACTGCATCTCACTTACTTTGGCCATGTCAAGTCAAAGTAAGTGAGATGCAGGAATTCAGTGGAGAAAGCAATTATGTTTGGAAGAGTTAGCGGTTAAAAAAAACCACGAGGTCCCCAGACAACATGGTAGCTGGACACCATCAAAGCTGACACCAGAGAAAAACTCAAAAAAGTAGTGCATGATCGGAAGATGTGGAGAGACCTGGCCCATGGAATCTCCCAAGAATCGGATACAACTGAATGGATAATATCACCATTACGTTTGTCATGGCCCTCTGGTATAGTTTTCTCCTGGAAGTTTGAACAATCCTTAGAGTTGCTATCCTTTAAATAGGCCTCAAAGACTTGACTTTTCCTCCAGGCCCCCCGGGGTAGGCCAGAGAACATGGAGTGAACTATCTTGGGCTTGTTTGTGATGCATATCTATTTCCCCTATTATGGCAGGTGTCAATTTTTATTATTATGAATTTTTTATAACATGAAAAGCATTCTTTGTTTTACAAAGTATTGTTTTTAGGAGTTGGGAGATCTTAAATATTTAAAATTGGCATGACAACTTTCAAAATCAGCTTGCCAAAGGCTGGCTTAGAACAAATTTTAAAATAAATTTTAAAATAATCCGATAAGAAATGAAAAGACAACACAAATCCATATAACGAAGCAGAGTAATTCAAATGAGAATCCTAAAATTATGTAACAGTAAAAACTACCACCTGCCAAATATATTGAAAGACAACCCACTGAGTAATCCCTGGAAAAACAGTACTTAGGTGTACTTCCCTGGGTAATTCCAGGATTGAGAGGAATGTATTCCGAGGTTCACTGCTCTGAGAGGACACCCAGACCAAAGCCTCCAAAAATAATCTTCTGGTATATGTAGGAACGTATGAGAAGAAGCTTTGAGTGTATGAAGGACTGATGAATTGGGTCAAGAAATAAACTAGATCCAATGAAAACTGCAACAAGGTCATAATGTCAATTCACGTCAGTCTTCTTGGTCTGGTAAGAATTACACATTTACAAGATATCTTGAAATTATGTGTCAGATCAAGCAAAAGATGCCACACAGGCCTAACTCTGTTCTTATTAACATTGGCAGTAGTAACAGAATCTTACAAGTCTGAATGTACTTGTCTTCCTTCCTCTATAAGTCATGTGAATTAAGGGATATCTATCTGAAACATTTTCATAACCCTCTCCAACCCCCAGGTTTAAGCAATGTTTATCTACTCTTTGCCTTGGTAACAATACTTTCCTCTATGTCAGAGTCCTCCTTTACTTTCTACACCCACATCGAGCACACTGTATAGATCTGAAGGAGAAATTAATATAGAGTAGTATAGAGAAGGTTATCTTTACTCAAGTAGGGCTATAATTTTAGGGCACAAAGATTGCATATTTATGGAACTGTCTCCAGAAGCAGTGCCCACAACTTCCAACTGCTGCAGGCAATGATTTATTGAAATCAAACATTCATGAGATCTAAAAAGACCAAGATGGATATACTCCTCCCATCCAAATGCCAATAAAGATCATCTAGCAGAAGATGGTAGAGGACAGGAAGACCTGGAGGAACGTTGTCCATGGGGTCGCGATGGGTCGGACACAACAACAACAACAAGCAGAATGACAAGTGCAGTTTTTGCCAGTCAACTTGACTTGAATGGATCCAGATAATCTGTTTCTTCCAGGATCCTCTGAAGTTGAACCACCCCCACTTTTCTCACAGCCTTTCCCAGATGTTGGAAATTGGGCTAAAGTTATCAAGAATGTCTGGGTTCAGGGAAAGCTTCTTCACATTATGCACTACTTCTGTCCCTTTCAAGACAGTGAGCATCATGTCTTCCTGCAAAGGTGTGTTAATTATCTCTCAAATCAGCCACAGAAACCTTACCTGGAATCAATCAATCAATCAATCAATCCTATAGATAATAGTATTATACAGAGGTCGTGTTCATTTTCTCAGGCTTACGGGCTCCAAAGAATCCCAGATAATTCCACAAGACATCACTGTAGCTCTGCCCCATTGGTATCCAAAGTAAACTGAATACAAGCAAATTTATCTTTTAAAAAACACAATTTCATTTGATATAAAAGTTGAAGCTTGCCCATCCCTCCCACAAACCCAGGATCTGGGTTTCAGGAAAAGGCTTTTGATTGATAATCTATGAATGAAATGAGCAAGAAGAAGAAATTATTACCCCCCCCCCTGCTCTGTATAATTCTAAACTTAATCTTTTGTCAATGCTTGGTCATGTCCATTTATGGTTTATGCCAACATCATTTCAAGTATATTGAATCACTTCATTTCCTTCAGCTCCTCAGTAGACCAAGGAACAGGCTAGGACTGGCAAATGGAGAAAGGCCGCTCTGTATAATGTAGTTTGGTTACCTCCACATTCTACTGGTTGACCAGGCATGAGATAGAACTGTCCAGCAGATTGTTGGAGAAAACCCCAAGTGTCCTCTGAAAACCATCCAGATCTATTAGGCAACTGGGACAAACCAAAATAATGCTTCCCCACATCCTCATAGGTTCTGGTCCACCTTCCAATGAGAAATTATCTGACACCAGGTTAAAGTCACCATGTTGTGGATGGAGATGGTCTTCTTGTGTACCAACCTGTCATTAATCAGCCACAGTTAAAACCAATGTCTCCAGTAATAAAACACTTAAAACAGTGGTTAAAATAATTCCTTTTTCTTATTGGTGCATTTAATTAAGTCAAGGAATAATATCTCTGTTTATTTTGTATGCTCATGTAATTCTTACGGTTTTTCCTTTTGTTTAATTCTTAATATGTCTCTACTACAATTTGCAGTTGGAGGTTTTGTTGGTAGAAATGCAAGATCCACAATCTGGCATCAAAACGCAAATACAGAACCTGCCGGACAGCAGCATTCCACATGCTGTGGTTGGTAAGTTTGACATACTGGACAATAGAAGGAAATCTCAAACATTAGGTTTTCATTATGTATTATTACTCCATATTCATCAGTCACTTTATTTCTGCCTTTGATGTTGGAAAACAGTCACAATAGCAGTTCAAGAAGATGACAACGGAAATTGCCATCCTGACACTGTAGAGGAAAAAGGATAATAAAGACATGAATATCAGATGTAAGGAATCTAGATAATCTGCTCCTTCTAGAATATTCTGCAGCTGATTCTCCACCACCCTCACAGCAACCTTCCCTACAAAAATCTTGACATTATTGTCTGCCCTTTGTAGCCTTTCTTTGATTTCCAATTTCTTCCATTATTTTAATTGTACCAGAGAATCCATTAAGGCAGGGGTGTCAAACTGCCAGCCCGCGGGCCGGTTTCATCATACCAGAGCCGCGGCCACCCCATTGCCGGAAATGGCGAAAAAGCTCCGATACGTCGCGCGACGTCACGAGTTTGACATGCCTGCATTAAGGAGACAAAGACAGACTAGCTGCGTAACAGTTTTGGTGGTAGTACTAGAAGCTATTCATTTAAAACCAATTTCAGCATCTATTTTAAGGTCAGACAATGCTAGGGAAAACTGTTCTTGTCTTGCTTCCATAGCTTATTCTCTAGCAACGGCAATTGGGATTGGAATTTCCATTGCTATAAAATGTTATAAAATGTGATGTCACATGATTGTGATGGCAATTCTAGCACTTCCTGGTTAAGTGAATTCAGCATGACTGTTAAGCAAGGAAATCATGTGGTCACCATTTGTGATCTCTTGCAGTTTTCCCAATTGACTTTGCTAATAAAATCCTGGCAAAGAAGGTCAAGTGACTGTGAAAAGTTGCAACATCATAAGGATCCGGATTGGGATTACATGACTGAAGGGACGTTGTAACAGCAGGAACATAAGATTCAAAATGGTTATAAGTACCATTTATTCAATATTGTGGCAAGTTCAAACGGTCATTGAACAAGTGGTTGTTAATCAAGGAGCACCTGTATGTGTATTAAAAATGTACTGTCACTACTACAAAATAATAATCTCAATATAAGAACTGTAAGATTATCATGGAAGTTAGTATTTTAGACATGGGGTAGAGATAATATTCTGTCTTCCGGTAACTCAGAGTTGATTGAAGAAAATTAAATCTGTAATAATAATTTTATATTGAGTAATATAAGATACATCTTTTTCTTTAGAGGTACAGCAGGAAAACCTCATTTGACTGTTTACTTTTCCAGAAGAGCCATCTGAATATCAATTTTCTTTTAAGATATACAGATTGTCCCCTTTTTGTTTCCTTTGTTGTTGTTTTACACTGTCAGTTGCTTCTCTCCTCTTCCCTTCTCCTAGTTTTCTATCCCTTTCTTTATAAGGAAATATCTAATCCTTTATTTACAGCCCACTAAAGTAACAGTCTACCATCATTTCAGCACTTCTGATCCTTACTGGGTAGACAACACAGGTCATGATTTTAAGAACTAGCGTCCTTTCCTGTTTTTCTTTGAGTAGTTTAAGAAGCATTCTTCAGCAACAGTCCCTCTTTCTAAAGCGCACAAGATTTTACCCAAATTATTACAGGTTTTTCATTTCCCGCCCCCAACCCTCAAATTCCATTTAAAGCCCTCCTGAACCAGCTTGCCATGGTTTGACTCCACACATTTTTACAGGCCTTGTAAAGTGCAGCCTGTTACTCTAACTCAGGGGTCTCAAACTTGGCCCTTTTATGACTTGTGGACTTCAACTCCCAGAATTCCTCAGCCAGCGTGCCTGGCTGAGGAATTCTGGGAGTTGAAGTCCACAAGTCATAAAAGGGCCAGGTTTGAAGACCCCTGCTCTAACTAGTTCATATGCTAGTCCTAGGAAATATTTCTGTCCTATCGACACCATTTCTCTAACCAGTCATTACCTCAAAATATTCTTTCCAGTCCTTTTCTGTGGTTCATTGAACTTTGAATTTATATCATGTGCATCAAATAATGGTTTTCTTGGTTCAAAGGCAATTTGATTGGTGTTGTTTTCATACAGTAATTGTCTCATAGTAGTCTCCAATTTAAACCATTTCAGTTGCCCTGCCTACTTATATTTTACTCATTTATCAATGAAAAAAATACTTGATATTGTAGTGGTTATATCTTTTAAGAGGAAGAAAACATAGAAGGCCTCTGCATTCCTCTGAATGTAGTAATAGGTGAATTCAGGGTTCTGACAATAAGCATCATCTCTTAAGGAGAAAAGCAGATGCAGATAAAATGACCTAAGCAGGGTCTGAGTGACAGGTTAATCTTTTAATTTCCTCTATTTTGGGAAGCAGTCTCCATAATGGGGATAAGAAATCCTGACTGCTGGTGTGTGTCTATCAAGCAGTCACATGTCAGGGAAGGGTAGCATTTTGAATTGCATTTTGGCAGCGTTTAGAATTGAGCGTGACTGAACATGCTCAGAGAAATGGATTTGTTCCCAAATTAAATATCTAGTTTTGACAGACCTGAAAATGTGCATTACATTTCTGATTTATAAGAAAGATTTTTTTACTTTCCATTTTTTTTAAAAAAAACCCTCTTAGATTAGAAAACCACAAATGTGTCTTCTTCATTTTCCTCTCTACTAGTAATTTTCCATTAATTAAATGTACTTGAAGACAGCGTTAATGTTCATTTGTATTCCCTGAATACTCTTTTACTGGCTGGGATATAAGTTCTACAATCTAGCCTTTAAAATCTGATGCCAGCTTTTGTGTTGCATTTTTAATTTCCAAGTAACTCTTTAGTTGAAATACATGACTGCTGGCTAACCTGCTGTTTTCTTTTGTAGAGGAAATAGTATGTTCCCAGTGAGTCACCTTGCTGAGAGAATACAGTTTAGTTCACATTTCCCCATATGTTGCTTTATGATTTAGTTTTTCAGATACAAACTCAAGGCAGAGTTCATCTTTTAACAACTAAGTGTAGCAAAACATGTGCTTTGGAAATCAGAAGAAAAGGGTTCTTTTTGGTCAAAAAGCAAGTCGCTTTAAATCATTAGAGTCACAATAAATACTGAAGTCTTTCAAAAGACCACAGAACTCAAGTTACTATTAGGCCAAGGGATCATTTGGGGACTGGCGCCATTATTTTGGTTAGAATAAAAAATGGGACCAAGTAACAGGTGTTTTTCTTTCCTTTGTTCATACTCTTATCCTTTCTCTTATATGTAGTCTTTGACTTACACAATTGAGCCCAAAATTTCTGTTGCTAAGCAAGACAGTTAAGTGACTTTTGCCCCATTTTATGGCCTTTTTGCCAAAGTTGTTGAGCAAATCTCTGCAATTGTTAAGTGAATCATGTAGTTCTTAACTGAATCTGGCTTCCCCCTTTGACTTGGTTTCTTGGAAGGCAGCTGGGAAGGTTACAAATGGTGATCATATGACCCAGGACAGTCCAACTGTCATAAATACATGCCAGTTGCCAAACATCTGAATTTTGATGACTACGGGGATTGTGCAATGGTCATAAGTGTGAAAAAATGGTCATAAGTAGCTTTTTTCAGTTCTGCTGTTATTTCAAACAAATGGTTATAAGTTGAGGACTACTTGTATTTCATATCTTTCCTCAGATAACTACAATAGCTGAGATGAGGTCAGCCATTTTGAGCCCCTGAATTTATTTGGAATTATGCAAATGGCAGTTTAACAAAATGACCTTATGTCTTGCCTACTCACAAAATATCCAAAGATGACCTACCTCTCTCTAAATATGTTCATTTCCCAGAAAGCAAGTGAACAACTTGCTAACATTGCTTTCTTTCTTAGCAATAGGTTCTTTTGCAAACAAAGCCCTTAGGCTGCTATCGCCTTCCATTTTTAATATGCAGAGATTTCTAGGTGGTGTATGTGAAGCTGAAAGGCATTTTGCAAATAAAAACAATGCTAGAAGTTAGCCTTTTCTTTTGTAGCAGCTTCCCATTTCTGTAAATTTAAGAAACACTAAAACAATTTAAGAGTCAGGTTAAATAAGATTGACAAGTGTTTCAGAAGATAACTATGATCATATTTTCCACCATGCTGCAGATCCCTGAAGTAATTTGCTTCTCTTGTGTCTGTGTTTGTTTTAAAGTAGTAAAGATTTTTAAAAGCCTTTAAAAGAACTGCAAATGTTTTGTAAGTGTAATGTTTTGGTTTTATTTGCCACCAAACAGGACGTGCACGTGTATATTTTCGATAATCCTGCTTTCCTTTTTAGCCAAATATTATATGCAAGTTGTCTGCTCATGGTGCTGTGATTTCTAATTTTCCCACCGCCTCTACATATAAGTATAGTTTCTACGGGTAGTCCTCGACTTACAACCATTCGTTTAGTGACCGTTCAAAGTTACAATAGTATTGAAAAAAGTGACTTATGACCGTTCTTCACACTTACAACCATTGCAGCATCTCCATGGTCATGTGATTTACATTCGGATGCTTCACAACTGGTTCATATTTATGATGGTACCAATGTCCCAGTGTCATGTGATCATCTTTTACAACCTTCTGACAAGCAAAGTCAATGGGGAAGCCAGATTCATTCAACAAGGTGTGTTATTAGCTTAACAACTGCAGTGATTCACTTAACAAGCATGGCAAGAAAGGTTATAAAATGGGGCAAAACTCACTTAAAAACTGTCTTGCTTAGCAGCAGAAATTTTGGGCTCAATTTTGTTCATAAGTCGAGGACTGCGTGTACTAACCAGGAAGAAAAGCGGGAATGAAACTTGGGTTGGCTTAAAGCTGTTCCCTGTGTTGTCTTTGTCCTCCAGGTAGTGATATACTGCAGTGGATTATGAAGCATTTGGAGATTACCAATGAAGGTAGGGATGTACAATTATTTTTTAAACAATGTGTTTTTTACCCTTAAAGTGGGTAGTCTCTGATTGTTTGGCTTTATTCTGTGTGTCCCATGGAAAGCAACTGATCTGTATTGTTTTTTTCTTTAAGAGGGGCTACATTTGGGAAGTATGATCATCAAGTGTGGGTACATCTATCCTCTTCAAGACCGAAGGAATTTGAATCTCAGAGGGGACACCAGTCTCTATAGATTCCAGGTAGGGGGATTGGTAATGCAGATAGGAGAAAGGTAACCTGCTTTGCATCCTGGCAGGAACTAATAATGCATTTTTGTTTATTTTCATAAAGCTTGTACTTGCTGCCTGTCAGTCACAATGGCCCGTACAGTTGCTTCCATAAAGTGTCATGCAGTAAAAATGATCTTGGAAAGCAACAGCAATAAATGATAAAAACCCTTAAAATGTTAAGAAAATGATGCTAAAAGAAAAAGTAGTGTGGGGCATAAGGCAAAGGTACATGTCTCCCCAACTTCTCCAGATCATACCCCCAAATTATAAAATTCAGAATTGTCAGCCAGGATGGGCATTCTGAAAGTTGTAATCCCAATACAAGCTATGCCACAGTAAAATAGGGACAATTTTTTGCTTTGAATTCTATCATGGAAGTTGGAAAAGGAGTAAGGACAAAATTTCCCCACCATTTCTACCTCTAATATCCACATTTTGCTTCTATCCTACCTTGGCTTCTTTTTGCATCTTTCATATTTTCCTTGTTATAAAATTTAATAATCACAAAATGAAACACAATTCTGATGCAGTAAAACAACCAGACCCATTTCAACATAAAAGTGAAAAGCAGCAGCAAACTGATTATAAGTAGTCCTCGTTCAGCGACTACCTCATTTAATGACTCTCTGTAGTTACAGCGGGGATGAAAAAGTAACTTTATAATGTAACCCTCGCTTTTACAAACTTTGCAGATCTGTAAAGCAAAAGAAAGTCGAATTAAAGAAATAATGCATCCGCGGTTTTGCTTATTGACTGCTTCACTTAACAGCCAAATTGCCAGTTCAAATTTTGGTATCTAAATGAGGACTACATCGCACTACATATAACATTTTCACCATGAAATGCAAATACTAAGAGAGAATCTGCAGTTTTAAAGCTTAATGAATTTTCCTAATATTATCACAGGTAGCTTTTGACTTATGACCACAATTGGGATCAAAATGTCTGTTTTTTTTAGCATGGCAGTTAAGTGAATTGGGCATAATTTTATGCTTCTTTTTGCTACATGACTCTTTTGCAGTTGAATCACTGCAGTTGTTAAGTGAATCACATGGTTGTTAAGTGAATCCAGCTTCCAGCATTGACTATTTGTCGCAAAGGGCAATCATGTGACCCTGGGATGTTGCAACCCTCACAAATATGTGTCGGTTGCCAAACCCTGATTATGTGCCCATGGGGATGCTACAATGGTTGTAAGTGCAAGGACCGATTGTAAATCACCTTTTCAGTGACTGTTGTAACTTTGAAGAGCCACTAAGCTCACCACCTCTTAGCATCTTTGGCTTTCCTTTCACACTTTTTGGCTCCCCCCACCCCCATTGTCAAAACATTATTCAAAGCTGTTCTAAAATAATTGGGAATAATAGAGAAGAAACATGTTGAAATGAAAAATGTTAAAAACTTTTTAAGCTTTATTTGTCTAGTGGTGAAATATTAAATCTAAGAATGAATTAGAAGAACTTGTTAAGAAATTTATCAATAACTTGGTTCTTAGTTTTTGTCTTCCTTCCTACAGACACCCTACTTTTGGCCAACCCAGCAGTGGGGAGCAGAAGATACGGATTATGGTAAGTTTAACATATTACCTCCTTTTTCTTGGTGAAACATCAATATCGGCAAAAATTACATAAAATCAAAATGTCCTGTTCTAATAACTTTGGTATAAGTAGTCATTTATTGAGAAAAATACGTTCTTCTCTCCCATTAATTGCTTTTTATTTAAAATGTCATTTTAAATAGCAGTTCATCTCGCTCTCTCTCTCTAATGAACATACACACAGGCTAGATTTCAGAAAATCCAATTTCAACAAATTTAAAGAAATTCTGGGTGGGATCCAAGGTAGAAATGCTATTCCAATGAGAAAAACAATTCTGGGCTGCTTAGGAACCCACTGTGGATTCCCAGGAAGTTTGAATGAATTAAAAGAGACTGCACTGTGTAAGAACTGGAAGATGGATGTATTCACCAAGAAAGTAAACTAGCAAATAGTGAGATCCCAGCCTTAATCCTTTTTAATGCATAACAGTGTCAAAGCAGAGCTGGAAGGTATACGGCCAGGTTCCCTTTTACACCAGAAAAGAAACAATTTGGTGGACAAAGATGGTGTACATAGCAACCTGAAACTGTAAATTAAAAGAACAGATTAAAGAAATACATTTGAGCTAAATTTAAAATTATAGTATTTACATTTATTTGGGAATTAGTCCACCGAACCTAATACAACCTTATCTAGGGTCATTATGCAGGTAATTATGGCATATATGAAAAAGACTCTCTGCTTTATTTTTACCTGTGTTACATTCTTCTCTACCTTCTTATCAAGGAGGAACATTGCTTCCAAGGCACTGGATTGGAGAAAATAATTTCTTCAGAGCACAATTTTATTTCGTCAAATTAAAGAAATTAATGACTACTATTAGGAGCAGAGCCATAATTTTTAGGGTTAGAGATGGCTTAATTGTTGGAGAACTTCAGCAAGACTCCTGTGCAAAAACAAAAATATCTTGTCTATTTTTAAAGCAAATACTAATTATAATACAAGAAAAATAGTTTCATCCGCTTTCAGATTGATTCCTTCAATCCTTAATTGAATCCTGTGTACTGTTAAAGGCAACACATAACGGATATATGGAAAAGTATTGAGAAGGACTTCCATTTTGCGCCCGCAGCGCATGGCTGCACGAGAGTGGATCTCTGCTCTCCATGGCTAGTTTCTTCCTGCTTGGGGGACCCTAGATGGGTCCGAAGCTGCCGTGGAGAGGTGACCGTGAAGGAGGGGTGCTCCGCTGATCACCAAGCAACGGCAATTGCTTTGTTTGATCTGGAGAAAGCCCTCCGAACCCGACAGGAGAAAGGCTAGAGTGAGATCAGCGTCTAGCCCAAGCTGCTTGCAGCTGAAGTCCCAGAGTACAAACCTAAACATCGGTGAACAGCGATGTTCTTCTTTCTTCTATCTACTATCTAAATCCTTGAAAAGATCCCCAAAGCAAGAAAATCTCCAGAAGTGAAGGGAGGGGACTATATCCCCATTCCCTGACAGATGGAAGTGGCGAATTAATATTAAAGGAGGGAAGAAATATATTAAAATTTGATTTAAAATACTTCAGCCTGGATAAATTTAGGAACTAAAAAACTGTCAAGATTATACCCTAATTTTTTTTTGATGGAATTAAAAATATATATAACAAAAATAACTTTGATTGAAAGAAAAACTGAAAAAGAAATAAGTGCTGACATCTAGTGGAGACTCAGAGAATAGAACACTAACAATAAGGACTCAGAAATTGGCAGAGTGCCTAGAAACAAAGAAAAAGTTGTTCCTTTGAATTGCAAATAGCCTTGAAGACAGCTGGGAACAAAGGAAGAGTCAGCTATAAGATTAAAAAGTGTTTGAAAGAAAACAAAAAACAAAAAAATACCTGGACTGTTGCTTAAATCTAAGAACTGTTTGTGGAAAAGAAAAACCTTGACTTTTGGGCTAATCTTTTAGAGGAGAATCTGTAGGAAGGATTTAAAGTGGCTTAACATACTGAACTGTAATTTTGACTGACTTGATAAATTGACTTTTGAATTAAAACATTGATGAAAGATTATTTCAAGGGGGGAGACAACATGGATATCACATACGTATAAAAAATGACAGGATGCCATATTCAATATTTTCTCCTGAAGGACGTAGCCTGGAAAATCAAGGGCCTCCAGAAGCAATACTTCAAGACAAGATAAATACTTTCCAGGAGGAAATATATGTAATGTTAGGACAACTATAAATGACAATAAACTCAAACCACGAGGAAATCCGAAACAACTTTGATGATTTAAATAAGCATATTTCCAATCTAAATTTACAATTAAAGAACACCCAGGAAATAACAACAAAGGCACAAATAAACCAGACAGCAGACTACAAATTAGAAAAGTATGATCAAATTGATGAAACAACAAAGGAAAAGAATTACAATTTGATAGAAACAGGAAAAAAATTTCAAGGTTCGATACAACAAGAAAAATGGAATTATCAGGAGAACCACTTACTTACTTCATCTTTTGTATTCCCAACAACATTTGTAAAAATACAGGAACTGCTGGGTAAGCAGATTACATCAAATTGGAAAATTACTCGGCAAAAGAAGAAGACTAAGGACAGATACAAGAGATTTGACTCATCCTACCAGATTAACTATTACGTGAATAAACATTTGTTTGAATATGGGTAAAAGAACAAAGAATTTTGAACACAAAGGGGCCTTATAACAAGAAGGATAAAAGATTTAAGTAATATGTTTTATTATATATGAAATGTTAAAATAGTAGGTTGATGTAACTTGTATTAATATATAAGTGAAATATAAACTGATTAAAAAGGATGTTATATCTAGATATTATAAGATAGATAAAAAGTATAGTATTTTTATAATGCATGATATAAAATATTGGGCGGATGTACCTAAATGGAAAAATTTGGACAGTTAGATGACTAATATGAAGAAATTATGACTGATAAGAATTGGATTGAATATAAGGGAATTTAAGCGAACAAAAATTACGGCCGACCATTTGTCGGCCGTGACCAGGGGGGCGTTTTATCAGGTCCGCCTGATTCACCAGTTGCGACCTTTTCTGGACCGGGACGCCTTGCGCACAGTCACTCATGCTCTCGTCACCTCTCGCCTGGACTACTGTAATGCTCTCTACATGGGGCTCCCTCTGAGGAGCACCCGGAGACTCCAACTGGTCCAGAATGCGGCCGNTTTTGTATTTTTGTATTTTGTATTTTTTGTATTTTGTGTATATTATTTGTTTTAATATGCTGTGAACCGCCCTGAGTCCTATGGGAGAAGGGCGGTATACAAATTAAAATAATAATAATAATAATAATAATAATAATAATAATAAAAATAGGATGTATGCTGAACTAATGAGATGATGGTTATGGGAATAACATAAGCTGAAAAAAAAATGTTATATAGAGATTATTATTATTTGTATAAATATAAAAATGCCTATATCTAATCATTTATATATTGAAAATATTAAGAATTATATTTTGGCTAAGGTTGAAAAAGGAGAATACAAACAGGAGAAGGGAAGATCAAAGAAATGTATCATTAATTAATATATTAATTATGAAAATATCAATTTTAATTATTATTGATTGTTAATTAATTATTATTGTCCTTTTTTCTTGTTAAAATATAAACCAAGACAACACGCTGTACACCAGGCACTGGAGATTGTTATAGTTAAAAACCAATAAAATATCTATTAAAAAAAAGGAAAAGTATTGAGAAGGAAGTACAGCCTGTTCAACATGCAGAAGAACATGCACCACAAAAAGTAACTGAAATTTTAGGACTGCATTACAGTCGGAGTTTCTTTTTCCTCATGTCTCTATTTCTCTGAATAAAGGCATTGAGACAGCAAAGACACTTGTGGGTTTAAGAAGTTTAAGATATAATCTCTTGAAAAGGAAGAACATATCCATACATACCTGTGCTCTTCAGTCAACAACTCTACAGTACACAATCTTTTCAGTACTGCTTCTTGTATGCCAATTGCAGACATCCTTTTTATCCTCCAAACTGTTTCATTCAGCCTTACCAACTGGGTAATGTGTATGAGCCTCTTAATTCTGTAGTAAGGTATCAGCTTACTTACAAAAAGGCCTACATTCAGTTTTTAGCCTCTACAATTGAAAGGACCTCTGGTGAGGCAAGAGAAGGCCTTAAAAGCCATAATCAGTCATGATAACTAGGTATGTAATAGATAGATTGGTGATCTGACTAAGGATGAAGCAGCTACTGTAAATAGGGCAGCTAATTGTCACCATCTGATAAAGCCTGTTAAGAAAATATCAAAGATCTATCTATCTATCTATCTATCTATCTATCTATCTATCTATCTATCTATCTATCTATCTATCTATCTATCTATCTAGTTTTAAAATCTTCATCTGTGCAGTTTTAATGTTTTAATATTTGAATTATTATTCTACTTGTTTTTATAACTTGTAAGCAGTCCATAGGATAGAAGGGTAGCATAAAAATTTAATAAATAAATAAAATAAGTATGCTTCAAGAGTTCCTACAGTATCTTCATTGGACACAATGCAGCAAAATTTACATTCCTAAGCAACCCTTGCTCTTTGAACAATACTGAAAGTCATTCCCATTTTAAAGTCATGAGTAAAAATATGCTGACTAGGATCAGAAAACAGCAGTTCTGATCTTTGCTGTATATACCGTATATACCTTGCACATATGTTAATTCAAGGTGTTTGGCTACTGTTATTTAAAGGATGCTTCCCATCTAAACTTCCCTGAACTTCTACCTGCCCCTTACTTGCTGTTGCCTCCTCCACACCTATAGTGTGGTTCAAGATGATGTGTCTGAACTAAACACCAGCACCTGTGTTCTTGTGAAGCTTGGTTCCCTGGAATTCCATCTGTCTTGGCTGGATGCCCCTGGGGGACACCCTCCCTTTGGAAAATATTGTATAACATTCAGGCGAAATGTTAATCATTAATCATATTCATTTGGTTTTTGCAGCTGTGCATATAATGTATTTTCTCTTTTTTTAAAAAATATCCCCAGCCATTTACCTAGCAAAAAGAAATATTAAGAAGAAAGGAGCGCTAGAAGATTATGAAAAGGTAGGAAGATATTTTTTCTTATGCAATGTTCTGTCTAAGCATCTTACCCAGTAGCATTATTCCAATACTTGGTAAGTTTGCCAAATCAGATTATTGAGATATGATAAGCAGATGAGGCTTAAGAATGTTCTGTTTCCTTTTTTTATTTATATGCCACTTTTTCCTCAAAGGAACCCAGAGTACTTTGTAAGGGAAGGAAGGAAAAATCTTAAGTCCATATAATAAGAATAACAAGGTTTGAAAACAATTAAGATGAAAATGAAAAACAGTTCATTTTCAAAAAAGCAAAATAGATTAACTTAAAGGCAGTTTTGTTCAAAGTTGTCATCCCATCTATGAATGGATTAACAACAACCTTCTTCTTTGAAATAATATAGTATGAACTATCTACCATGCCATAGCACACCACACCATAATACGTTGTACAGTACCACACCATATAGAACTAGAAATTGACTGCTTGTAAGCACCACAGCCAAAAAACAAACTGAGTAATATTTGTTCAAAATTTTGGCAACTTTCGAGATTGATGTCTATGGAGATTCTCAGTCACCCTGGTCATGGTTGTCCCAAAGGTGCGTTTTCAGGAGGCAACTGGACTTTCATGTTTTTCTTGTTCTTCTTCTTCTCATCCAAGAAGCTTCTTCAGCTCTGACTAGATGGTGGGGAATGGAAGGATTTATACTCCTTGCAGACAGCTGGTCATTTGCATTTTTTTAGAGAGACGTTGAGGCCATTTGGAGGTGTCTTCAGGGTCACTGGAAATGTCTTCAAAGAAAAACAAGAAAGTCCAGTTGCTGCTTTAAAAAGCACGTTGGGACAACCATATCCTGGATGACTGAGAAGAATGCAAATGAAACAGCTGTCTGCAAGGAATATAAATCCTTCCATTCCCCACCATCTACTCAGAGCTGAAGAAGCTTCTTGGGTGAGAAGCAAAACATCTTCAAAGAAAAAACAAGAAAGTCCAGTTGCTTTCGATGTCAGTCCTTTGAGGCAGGCCAGGTTAGGAAATAGACAAGGATTACAGGAATGCTATGTTATTATTGTAGGGTATAATAATAGAATCTTGGAAGCCTGTCAGAATTTCTACGCCCCTTCATATACCAAACAATATAGACTTAGGACCACTATGGAGCCCAACATTTCTGTTGTTAAGCGAGACGGCTGATAAGTGAATTTTGCCCCATTTTATGACTTTTCTTGCCACAATTCTTAAGTGAATTACTGCAGTTGTTAAGTTAGTAACACAATTGTTAAGCTTCCTCATTGACTTTGCTTGTCAGAAGATTACCAAAGGTGCCCACACAACCCTGGGACACTGCCAAGTGTCACAAATATGAGTCAGTTATCAAGGGTCTGAATTTTGACCATGGGAATTCTGCAACAGTCGTAAGTGTGAAAAACGGTCATAAGTCACTTTTTTCAATGCCACTATAACTTCGAACGGTCACTAAACAAACTGTTGTAAATCAAGGACTACCTTTATATAGTATTTGTTTTTTTTCTTTTGGAATTGTAAGCCACCCAGAGTCATTGACTGAAGTAAGCAACTATAGAAATTGAATAAACAAGCAAATAAATAAATAATGCTAGACACAAACTGTCATAGCCATCTCCCACACAAAATAGTTTCCAGGTGAGACAGAATTTTAATCAAGAGTGCAAAGAAAGCATTCCTCCCAACTCTTTGACATATGCTGATGCTGGGCAGAGGGGGGGGGGTAAGACCTGTAACCACTGGCTTGTACATGCCAGATATCAGTAATGCAACCATAGATGAGTGCTGTCTTATTCTAGTTTGAATTGGCATTGATTAATCTCAACAGTATGCACAACGTGGCTTTCAAGCTGGCTCTTTTCCTGGGCTCACATAGAGGCTGTACGATTGCAGGAAAGAGGGCCCTTGAGTTAGGGAGGCTCTGATAGGATACAGTAAGATGTTTTTGAGCAGGTGTAGTGCCCTGGCAGTGCCTTAACTGAAACATAATTTCCTGGCTTCACTGCTTCTTAAGGAGATAGAAGGTACACGTCCATGCCAGCTCCAAAACACTGTTTAGGCTTCAGTCTGAAGTACATACTTCTCTTCTTACAATCATTATGCATTCTTTACAGGGAGTGCTCAACTTGCAAACTTTCATTTAGTGACTGTCTAAAGATACAATGGCGCTGAAAAATCATTTGGGATCATTTTTCACATTTACAACTGCTGCAGCATCCCCCACGGTCATGTGATCAAAATTTGGATGCTTGGCAACTGGCATGTATTTATGTCAGTTGCAGTGTCCCGGCGTCATGTGATCCCCTTTTGTGACCTTCTGACAAGCAAAGTCAGTGGGGAAGCCAGATTCACTTAACAACTGCAGGGATTTGCTTAACAACAGTGGCAGAAAAGGTTGTAAGATGGGACAAAATTCATTTAACAGCTATCTTGCTTAGCAATGGAAATTTGGGGGCTCAGTCGTGCTTGTAAATTGAGGACTACCTGTACTAAATTTTATATGTTTTAATGTTATTGTATTGTACATGCTCCAGTGCATTTTTAATTCCACCTTCCACCTGGGATCTCATTTCAGCAAGTGATATATATACCTATGTAGAATAAAATACACAACCTTTTCCTTCTCATTATTTTGAAACATCGTCAAAATATTTATCCCTTTTAAGTACTGACCACTTCGCTATTGCCATTGCGATTAATGTTAAGAAGTTTTGTTGAAAAATGTTATCAACCTTGCTTGTTTTATGCTTGGTGCATAAAGTCAGTGTTGCAGCTGTTTATCACATCCTTTGTGGTGAGTGCATAACAATGTTGCCTTTGCCATTGCCTTCCTCTCTCACTGTTTCTTTTCCAGGAACATTATAGCATGTTGAACAAACGCATCAATCATAAATGGGACTTCATTATTATGCAAGCCAAGGAACAGTACAGGTAGGAGACATTTCTTAACTGAGGTGGTGATGGGGATGGGCAGATAGTCCTCGATTTACAACCTTTCATTTAGTGACTGAAGTTGCAACAGCACTGAAAAAAGTGACTTGTGATCATTTTTCACACTTAACGACCGTTGTGGTAGTCTCATGGTCACATGATCAAAATTCGGATGCTTGGCAACTGGCATGTATTTATGACTGTTGTAGTATCCCAGGGTCATGTGATCACCTTTTGCGACCTTCTGACAGGCAAAATCAGTGAGGAAATCATTACTTCACTCAGCAATGGTGGCAAGAAAGGTCATAAAATGGTCCAAAACTCACTTAACAATTGTCTTGCTTAGCGGTGGAAATTTTGGGCTCAATTGTGGTTATAAGTCGAGGATTACCTGCATTTTGTTTGAGCAAAGGAATAAGTAATAAAGAGCTGCAGGTGTTCAATAGCAATTTTATTTTACCTTCCTTTTAAGAAGGGTCATCAAAAATTGACCTGCCTCTGCCTTTGCTTTGAGCCTCATCATTAATAATGGACTTGCATTTTTGCCCATAAATAAAATATATTGACAATGGTCTGTCCATGTCCAAATTCTTGGCATGCATAGTCTGTTTGAGAGGCATAAATGTTATTTTCTTTTTCCTCTGGTAATGGGATGCTTACACTGATATCTGTCTTAGGATAATTTTTTTTAGTGACTGTCCGTGGCCAATTTCATAATATGATAGTAAAGTTTGGGGTTGCTTTATCTCATCTTAATTTAAAAGTCACAGTCTTAGACCCTGGGGATAACACAATTCCTTTATTGTAATTTCTTTCTTTCTTTTTCTTTTCTTTTCTTAAGAAAACATCTTACTTACCATCTTCTTAGCTTATTCAGGGATGGACTATTTCTACTATTTAGAAAGAAATATACAAAGAATGATCCCTGAATCCAAAAAAAGGGAATATTTATACAATGAAGTGGCAGATTTTTCTTCATTGTGTGTATTAAAGATCTTGCAAGAAAATTCCATACCATGTTTATGTTATTTCCTGTTAGAGTGCATAAACAATCCCAAGAAAAAAAATATAGTCTCCTGTTTTGATTTATTTTTAAAAAAAAGCTTCTTGGATTTGCAGCGCAGGAAAGGAACGAACGAAAAAAGACCGGTATACTTTGGATTACCAAGAGAAAGCCTACTGGCTGGTGCAACGGACTCCTGTAAGCAAGAATAGACTTACCTTTTGAATAAATATGTTTGTGCTGTAACACAAGATGATTACAATGTACTGTAATAACTGGAGGCAACATTACAAGCATGCTGAATGTCTTGCCCCTAAGCATATTCCCTCCCCGATTTAAATCAATAGGACACTTCATTCTTTTTGTGTTAAAATGACTTGGAAAATGAGAATTACTTTCCCTCATGAGTCATTGATCGTCAAGGCAAGTTGAATCCAAAGATAAAATGATGACCTAGATAGCAACACAACACATAGATGGTCTTGCTTCAAAAAGGATCGGTAGCTTTCTTTATTCCTGAAACAGATACTGTATATATGTGATGTTTAGAGTCTTTAAGTCTTCCATTAATGTTCTTCACCATATATTTTAAAGCATGTCCTTAGTCTTTTGGCATCAAAGGGGCATGGAAATTATTTCTTTTCCTCCCTACATGGGAACTACGATTGGAAAATTACAAGGCCTGAGTAGTGAATCAAACCTAATAGACAGCCTCCACTTGGAATGGGTTTCCAGGTGATCGGTCTATATTCCTACATTGGCTTGCCATCTTAAATTCTGTTGGATTAGTAATTATCCAACAGAATTTAAGATGGCAAGCCAATGTATGATACAGGTGGTCCTCAACTTACAAGAGTTCATTTAGTGACCATTTGAAGTTACAATGACACTGAAAAAAGTTTTCACACTTATGATCATTGTAGTATCCCCATGGTCATATAATTTACATTCAAATGCTTGACAACTGACTCACATTTGTGACAGTTGCAGTGTCCTTGGGGTCATGCGATCACCTTTTCCAATCTTCTGACAAGCAAGGTCAATGGTGGAGCCGGATTCACTTAACAGCTATGTTACTACCTTAACAGCTGCAGTGATTCACTTAATAAATATGGCAAGAAAAGTTGTAAAATGGGGCAAAACTCACTTAACAAATTTCTCGCTTGGCAACAGAAATTTTGCTTTCTGTGGTCATACATTGAGGACTACCTGTGCTGTATTTTATATCTTTAGCCATAAGCAGCCCAGAATCCTATGTAAGGTAGTCCTCGACTTACAATCATTTTTTCAGTAGCACTGAAAAAAAATGACTTATGACTGTTTTTCACACTTACCACCAAGCGGTATACCCATGGCCATGTGATGTAAAATTCAGACTAACCAACTGGCGTGTATTCATAATGGTTGCAGAGTCCCTGGGTCCTGTGATCACTTTTTACTACTTTCCGACAAGCAAAAAAAATCAATGGGGAAGACAGATTCACTTAACAACCATTTACTAATTTAATAGCTGCAGGGATTCATTTAACAACTGTGGCAAGTAAGGTCGTAAAACGGGGCAAAACTCACTTTACAGCTGTCTTGCTTAGCAATGGAAACTTTGTGCTCATTTGTGGTCTTAAGTGGAGGACTATCTCTAATTGGTGGTTTTATGCAGACAGTCACACATAAAGAATAAATAATAAATGCTAAACATTTGTGTGGGGGATTGTGGCATTACATCCGTGAGTTATTAAATTCCTACCATTTGTGTGAGCATACAGTTTGGGGTCTGTTGCAGGAGTAAAAAAAAAGGGACAATAAAGAGACAAGGAAGCAGGGGACAAGTTGGCCCAGGAAGCAGGCATGGGTTATCCCTGCATCTTCTGGCAGTTGTGCATTGTGCAAAAGTTTGCATTGTTTATATTTGATTCCATGAACAAAGCTACTGTACTTCGATTCCTATTTCTACAGGGTTGCGATTGTAATCTCAACTCAAAACCAATTGAAGTTATTGCCAAAAGCCCAAAAATTAAATGCAGGTTTGTGGAATCGCTGCCTCCTGATTATCTAATTTCCCTTCATTCATCTTCCATGCCTTCAGCTGCTCCGCAGGGTGCTTTTGGCAACTTTTCCATGTTGGAAAAAGACATCAAGCTGGGCACCCAACAAACAGCACGGTTTCTGGTCTTTGGGAGGCGCCTCTGGCAGATGCTGGGGGTTGTTTCCTGAGCAGTTACTACACTGATCACAGCAGGTCGTAGGACTCTGATGCTTGCCAAGGAGCTACATTCCCTAATCCCAAATCATAATCAAAGATCCACTTTTAATTGTGCACACAGTGTAAATGGCCACTGAGAGCCCAGCAGTTAACAGACAGAAAAGTAGAAGCCTCCAGCAAATGTCAGGCTATAATTGGAGCTTGACTTGGGGGAGGGGGTGGGGAAGTACCATCTGTAGATAAGGCAACAGCCCCTTTGGTCCCAGTTCATCTTTCCTGCTGAAACACCTTTGATCACCTCAGGCTTGCTTTTGGATCTTTCTCTTTCTTGAGCTGTTTCCCTCCCCCCCTCCCCTCCCCTTTTAAGATAGCACTGGTTGAGGTTTAATTATTGATGGCCCAACTTCAGCAGACATCAGATAGCAGATCCAAACTCAGCTGTGCTCAAAGTAGATGTGAGAGCAGTACCAATCTGTTTATTATGTCAAAGCCTTCCTTTCTCCAATGGGCAATGCTTTCTTTCTTTTTCTTTTTTTATGAGTCAATTTCCCTTGCCCAGATTTTGCTAGAAAAATGCTCCTGTTTATAGAGTTATCTAATGCAGCAATGGATACATTTCATAGCATTGATACCTAGAAAAGGGAAATGTGCTACTGCATCTTTTGTGGCCCGTCTATTACTGTGGCTATATTTATTGATTTTACAAGTAGTCCTCAATTTACCACCGCAATTGAGCCCAAAATGTCTTGTTGCTAAGCAAGACAGTTGTTAAGTGAATTTTGGCCCCAGGACATTGCAACTGAGTTTTGCCCCATTTTATGACCTTTCTTGCCGCAGTTATTAAATGAATCACTATAGTTATTAAGTTACTAACACATTAAGTGTTAAGTGTTAAGTGAGTCTGGCTTCCCCAATGACTTTGCTTGTCAAAAGGTCACAAAAGGTGATCACATGACCCTGGGACACTGCAACCGTCATAAATACATGTCAGTTGCCAAGCGTCTCAATTTTGATCACATGACCCTGGGGATGCTGCAAAGATCAGATGGGGGAAAAATGGTCCGAAGTCACTTTTTCAGTGCTGTTGTAATTTTGAACTAAATGAAGGGTTGTAAGTGAAGGACTGCCTGTACACAGATTAATATTTAAAAAAATAATATGGCATAAATACATCTTTGTTACATTTTGTTTTGTTTCTATATTATAGCCTGGAATGCAAGATACACTGGAGTATGGGTTGGACCGAGCAACAGATCCTTGTGAAAATAAGGTAAACCAGGTAAGCTTTATGACATTCTAATTATAGTCTTATAGTCTTGTAAACTTACACAAATGGGTTCAGTAACATACAGCTACAGAACATTTATATATGTATATGGAATAAGTGCGTTGCCTTTTTATTTTTTAAAAAGATCCTTAAGAATGGCAGGAATCGGTCTTCATCAGGAAGACTAGTTGATCCCTTTTTTATGGTATTATAGTTCCAACATATCAAATGAATTTTTTTTTAGATTTCATTTATACCTTTATTCAAAGTATCTGGCCCTCCACCGAAACTCAGCAAGCTCTCCTATGACTATCAAAAATTGAAATGTAAATAGATGGGAGCTCTCATTATAGACCACCATCATTTAATTTGGAATAATAAGTAAGCAAAGGTAAGCAAAACATGCGTGCAAATTGATCGTGATCTAAACAAAGGTTTTAGCATATATATTTTTTCTCTGCAAAAGGGTTTTTAGTTTTCTTTCTATCTTCCTCCCTTGCTTCTTTCCTTCCTTCTCTTTCCACTATGGGATCCATTCATAAGGCATAACAGATTTTAAAGAAACAGAAATTCTATTGGTTTGATCTGGACTGCATCCAGAGCTCTGTGAGAATTAAGCCCTTCTAAGCTTGTACCTAATTTCAGCTCTATTTGATTTGTATAATACTGTAAGCAGGCTATGCCAGTCCCATCATGGAGCTTTCCACAGACAATGAAGACATAAGAGAGATAGAAAATCTTGGCAGCTGAAGAGATATTAATAGGTCAGCGGAGCTCTTGTGGAAGGCGAGGCTTGGATGATGCTTGGTTTGCATCCAACCGAAGACCCCCTCAAGACAATTCTTGCATTATTTTCATGAGATGCTTTTCAGGGCTAACAGACCTCTCTTGTGGATCAAGCTCTCGACTACTGCAGTTCTCAGAGGCAGGGAATCACAATGGCAAGTGGGTTTTGTTGCCATGGAGGACATACAAATGCAAGAATTTAGAACAGGGGTAGTCAACCTTGGCTTTTTTATGACTCGTGGACTTCAACTCCCAGAATTCCTGAGCCAGCACAGCTGGCTCAGGAATTCTGGGAGTTGAAGTCCACGAGTCATAAAAGAGCCAAGGTTGACTACCCCTGGTTTAGAACTTAGCTTTTCCCTGTAAGAGAAGGTGGTTGATAGACTTTTCTTGAAAAAAGAACCAGGCTCTATCAACCCAAGGATCTTGAAAGGAAAAAGGTCACCAAGGCAAGCTACACTGAATCCTAACCCTGGATTCATTAGGACATACATGTGGCATCATTTTCACCACACTCTCCCTTCAACTTCTCCCCCCTCCCCATTGCTTTTGGTCCTTTCAAAATCTCTGGTCCCCTTAGTAGGGAAGAACTCTTTTTTATTCCAGTCATCACTGCACAGTGACAAAAAAAGCTGCAAACTTCTTGTAAACTTCTGGATTCAGTTTTGGTCATTAGGAGTTTTGCTATGCTCAACTGTCGGTTCTAAGTATATAAGGAATAACAGAAAGTTCAACAACCTGAATTCAATGATTGCATTTAGACTAATTCTAAATTAAGAATAAATAACTAATACAGTAATGCGATGATGAAAAAACTGGTAGAAAACAGAGGGATAATTGCAGTTTAAAATAGGAAATATAACTTTGATTCAGTAAGTACTGAATGTATGAAAATTATGTGCTTTTTGCTTTTTGCTTTTTCTGGAAAAAATTTAGATAGATAAAAGATAAACATGAAAATATAGAAATCATATATGAAATAGTTAATTAACCTTTCCCTTCTATCTTTTGTTTTCTCTCTCTCTAGTTTGTTTTTCTCTGATGTATATGATCTTCGTTCTCTGTGAAGTACTTGGTTGCTTGTCCTATAAAAGACTAATGTGCTGTCATTTCAAGATGAATCTCATCCTATTCATCCTTACTCATTGCTATATATTTAAGCCTGGGAAATGAAAATCAACTGGAATGAGGGTTGGATCTACTTTAATTCAGCTGTTTTATAAACATTTGTTTACAACTGTAAGCTTTTTTTAATTAGCCCCCATATTGTCTTTGTTGATGGGCTGGAACTCACTTGGGATTTCATTGTAATTGCAGTCTGTCCAGTGGGATAAGAAACTGTTCTAACAAATTAAATAGTTTACATAAGCAAGCCAGATGTAGTGTCCATCCTGCCACACCGTTTTATTGTCTTGAGTATGAGTGAACAGTTTCCTATTCTTTTGGAGACAGATCTTCCCAGCAACCATTATACAATGACACAGCCTCAAGATCATTGACAGGAACCGTCAGGCAGGCTTTCCTGAAACACTTGCCAGTTTTGACTTGTGCATCCTTTTGTTTATATCCTTATTGATATGCGGCTCTTGAACAGTTGACTCATACCAAAGAAATCCTTTTCCAAGCATGAATCAGTAGTCTTAAAAAGATTTATTGAAGTGAAAGAGATAGATGGATTACAGAAATTTCAACAACTTAACTATTTCCCTCTAAAACTGATTTATTTTCCTAAGATATGAGGGCAGAGACTTTTGTCTTTTCCTTTTAGCGGCTTTTCTGTATACAAGCAACAAGGTGGATCTTTTTATTGATAAAGGATGAACTTGCTGGTGTTTGTTTACAAAGCTGTTTCCTGAAATTCTTAACTGTCTGAGAAGTGACTCTTAAAATTGGCAAGAAAAAATAACTTCCAATGAAACCTTCATGGTTAATTGCTATATTGTATTCTTATATTATTTTTTAAACTGGCCTGCCTCAGATTTATCATACTATTCTATAATGCATTATCTACAATAATAAAATAGTACCTAATAGTATCTACAAAAATAAAATAGATATTAAATAAGCAAATGTATCCAAAATTCACCTGTATTTTCTTGAAGCTTGTTTCTTGTGTAACAGAATTTTTCTGAAGTGCTATTTGTACCTTCACATTTGATAGAGGCAATAGTAATCTATAGGGTTCAGTTTCAAAGACTAGTACCTCTGTTTGCTGTTTTCTCATTTCTAAGAAAAAGTGGGATGTAAATGTCTTAAATGTTTCCTGCCTGAGCAGGAGGTTGGACTAGATGACCTCCGAGGTCCCTTCCAACTTTATCATTATTATTATTATTATTTATTTTATTTATTATTTCAATTTATATCCCGCCCTTCTCCCGAAGGACTCAGGGCGGCTCACAACATTATTAAAAAACAAAAACAGACCCACACACCCCACCGAATAAAACCAAATTAAAACCAATATTTTAGTGTTGTGATAATTAAAATTTCTAAAAAAACCCAATTTAAAAATTATTATTATTATTATTATTACTTTAATTTATATCCCGCCCTTCTCCCGAAGGACTCAGGGCGGCTTACAGGCAATAAAAACGGAACTATACAATAAATATCTAAAAACAATTAAAATATATATTAAATAAGCCTGTTATTTTTAGAAAAGTTATAAAATCCCTATTAAAATCCCTATACAATCCCCCCCCTAGGCC